TATGAAGTAACATGTTTAGTATTATCAAATAAATTTATATCTACCTACACCATATAAATTTATCTCACAGAAACTGTCACCTCCAAAAGAATTCATTAAGAATGTTACAGTGGCCGAATTAAATGCAATCCCCTAATTGGAATTTAATCTTACAATAGTAGTTGGTAGATTTTCTTTTCTAATTGACAAAGTAATTCATCAGTTTGTTTTCCAGTGTTGTCTGAAGATTTTAAAACTTAATTTGACCTAAGGATTGGAAGGCCACTGCTGTGAGGTATTGGGTGTAGGACGGGAGGTGGTTCCTTTCCTCATCTTCAGAACTCCTGTTGTTGCTATGGTCAGAAAAGGATGGGCACTCTCTTTCAAGTCCTGAATTACTACTCTGCTAGTATATTCCATTACCTCCACATAAATGTCAAGTTAATTTCTGATCTTCATCAAGCCAGACAATGGTTTCCACCCTGGCCCCTAGCCAATTAGCTATATGGAAAATATTCAGCCAATTGCAGTACTTGTTAGATTAAGGACTGAGAGGAAGGCAAAATAAATGCCTTGAAAATACTTCAGAGATAAAATGTAAGTTGACACTGTCTTCGTGAGCTCGAGCCCAAGTTATACAATCTGATAGGCAGCTGCCAGCACTCATAACTGCTTATTAAATCTAGACTCTCTTTTTGGTGTGAGTGCAGATCTGTATTTTTACCAATATTAGGTTCACTGTGTTATGAAAGAGACCAAAATACTTAAGATCATTCGCTCCAGCTTATAAAACACATTAGTAGTTTATTAAATTGTTAAAATTACTTTTCAAAAGCAAAATTTCAGGGACTGAGAGTTGAAGCACAACAAGGTGGCTTGGCCCACTGACAATCTGCAAAACAAGGAAGCCCAGAGGCTGGTTTTCCTGTTCTCAGACATCTGCTATCTCCCCTCTCCCCTCCCTTCTGGAAGCTGCATTGCTAACATCCTACCCCAAAAACTAACAACAAAAATAGAAATTCTCAAGTTTTACTTAAGAAAAAAAAAAAAGGAATTGCCAGCCAAAAAATCACCCATTAACCAGTCCAAAGGGAGAACAATGTGATTTGTTGTTGTTATTGTTTTATTTTTTTTTTTTTTAAACCTCTTCCTAAGAGTCCCTGGATGGTACAAATGGTTAACATGCTTGGCTGCTAACCAAAAAGTTGGAAGTTCAAGTCTACCCAGAGAAGCCTTGGGAGAAAGGCAATCTACACCTGAAAAATCAGCCACCGAAAACCCTATGGTACATGTTCTACTCTGACGTACACGAGGTCATCGTGATTTGGCACTGACTCAACTGCAACTGGACTTACTTCTTTCTAGTATATAAAAAGCTAGGCATTTGATCATGAGGAAGATCATGAGGACAAATAAAGGAAAACAACTGGACTCCAAACAATGACAGGTAACACACCCTTACATGTGATCCACCACAAAGGGAAAATTTATTGGTAGGGACAGTGTAATATCAAGGCAGAGACTGGTGAACAAACTAGCATATTTGGCATCTCTAGTCAACTCTTCTCAGGAAAACTCTATGCAAATCCAGGCTATTCTTATCACATTTATTAGTAACATTGTGGCTAACTGCCTACTAAATACGCATCAGACTTAGTTGCTCTTCACTCTTTAAGTCTCGTGATATGCATCATACAGGCACCAGTATCAACTAAAACGTCACTGGAAGGAAAGAGAAGCCAACTCAAATTCCCTGCAGGTGAGTGGGAGCATTAAAGAGCCACATCACAGAGAGAGATGTGAAGTGCTCAGCCTTTCCTTCTCTCCATCCTGCCCCTAAAGTCAATTCATTATGCAGGCATGACTATCACCAGCATAAATCGAGTACGTTACCCATTTTCTGACCTTGAAAATATGACGTAACTATCTATGTGTGCCAACCTTTTTGTCTTTATGGTTTTATTTCCTAGCATTTGAGTGAGGCAATTTGCTACCTTACCTGTCTACCCCCATGACTATGACCCTAGCTTATCACAAGGAGACTCACCATGAAACAGTACACTCAGAATTAGAGTTTATTTCAAGCCTAAAGACTCCATATTATCAGCTGTAACAATTAATTGGCACTCTTCTTGGTTACTCAATAAACTGTAAAGTTCTAAAAGCCACAGGACTGTGAATGAGTTTTGACAATGGAACGACTAGCTATCAGATGCATAATGCATGGAAGGCCAAGTTATTGCATCATGGAGGGAGAGAATGACTCCTTTGAGCAAACCTTGGAGGTGTGCCCTAAGGGAAAATAGGTAAGAGGACAGACAATCATAACACATGCTCATCAGATTTTGTGTATTTCTACTTCCTACTAAAAAACACAGCGAAAGGAAGTTTATTATGATCTGATAAATACAAAACACTTCCTTATTTAGAAGAAACTGGTATTCGACTGGGCCTAACAGTGTATTTTATCAATTCAAAAGAGTACCATTTTCATTACAGTTCTTCAGATTGATTTTCAAATTGAAATTAATGAATAAAATGAGTCTAGCCTTCAATAAATCCATTCATGTGGTTTTGTTAAATTTCATACATCAATTTTATCATAGTGAGATTGAGTCAGACTCTCTCAATACCGAAGACAGAGATGACAGGTAACCTAAAACCCGAGTTTGTTGCTAGTGCAATACATTCATAATTTCAACTGTCTCTGAATTTCCATGTGTGTGAGACAGACCCAGGCTTTGTTCTCAAATCTACCTGGTTCCCCAAAGATTTAACTTTTCTTAACACATGCAATCCGCTCAATAATTTACAGATCATTCACAAAATTCTTTCATAGGTTCACAGCAATGAAAATACCTCACAAAACTTTCATAGGTGTAGAAACCAAAGGATTTTACCAAGATCCTCCAGTAGAAAGACTGAACACCTCTAACAGCTATAAAATTCTATCACTCCAAGAACCATTTCCACTGTGGACATCCTTGTTTCATGTGCTATTGTTTCCTAGGTGTCTTTTCATTGCCTATGAAACAAAGACTACTATAAGATATTTTAATTTTTATTTTTCCTTTATCCCGAGCTCCTGCAGAATGCAATGCCAAGTACTAATAGTCAGATAACAAACTCGGCTAAGTAGAAGTAAATTTTAAAACAAGCAAGCTCTTTGAGGATCATTTTGGTCTTTCATACTGGGCTTTTTCTCTAGGGCTTATTTTTCTTATCCATGAAATGGGAGCCATTTGTTGAAATGATTTTTAGCTGTAAAATCTTTAAAAGTCTGGTCCAAATAGCTGAATGCAAAATGATATCTTAAACAGAACACTCATCATCAGAAGAGGTTTACTAAACTAAAGAGGCTGGATGTCCCAATCCTTGTAAACGAAATAGGCCAGAAAGAGCCACTGATGCTGGGCCAGAAAACTAGAGTCCAGTCCTGCCCAAGCCCAGGGGCTGAGCATCTCAATTAGACTCTATGGCTTCAGCCGTCCCATTTGTAAAATGAGAGGATTTTAAGAGTCAACCTGCAGGGCCTCGTTAGCACAAACAGGATGGAATTCGCTAACCTACCTGCTTTGTTTTAAATACAGGACATCAAAGTAAAGACAGACTAACTTGCTCTATGTCAATGAACTGTTAGGTCTTCCAACTGCCAATATAGTGTTCTTTCTTCACTATACTAACCCCCATTAAATAAAATCTATTTCTGTTATAAGTCCACTGAAATAAATGAGATGAATTTATGCCATTGGTTCTTACCACTAAATGCCACCCAATACAAAATCTGAAACTAAATGTTTCCCCATGTCGACTTCACTTGACAACAAAGGTACTGTAGGATGATGTCAGAACTGTTGCTCCAAACACCTGCCTCAACCAATTATTGGGCACTGATAATAGCAAGTTATGGGAGCTCTGGTAGCGTTGTGCCTAAGACACTTGACTGCTAACCAGAAGGCTGGTGGTTCAAACCCACCAGCCACTCCTTGGAAGGAAGATGGGGCAATCTACTTCCGTAGTGATACTGCCTCGGAAACCCAAGGAGGGGTCGCTATGAGTCAGGTCTGACTCGACGGCACACAACAACAACAACAATAGCAAGTTATAACTGTTTATCCATTCCTAAAAGGGGAAAGGGAGAGAGATCAAGAACCTCTGGTGGTGCAGTGGGTAAGGCATTTAACTGCTAACCAAACAGTTGGTGGTTTCAATCCACCAGCTGCTCTGTGGGAGAAAGATGAGGCAGTCTGCTTCCATAAAGATTTACAGCCTTGGAAACCCTATGGGGTAGTTCTACTCTGTGCTTTAAGGGTCTCTATGAGTTGGATAGCAGTAAAGGGGTGGGGAAGGATCATCAATTTCTGACAAATACAACAGGTGCCAGGAAATACAGAAAACACATATAATGGAAACAGATGATCTGTCCCTCTAACCTTTTCCTAAAAATTATGATGAATAACTGATGAGGGAAATTATGTTAGGAAAATAATATGCCCAGAGTCTTTCAGAAAACTTTTGATGGTACTAAGTTTCCAACAACTTTAGCTTTCTTCAGAGCCCTAAGTATGCAAAAGGCTTACGCTGGGATCTTTTCAGTGAATAAAGCAGACTTAAATTTCCCCAAAAAAACTCAAGATGAGGACATCATGGCCTTATTCCGTACACTATGTTGTAAAAGAATCAGAATCAGAAAAGCAATTACCAATTTCAATTTTGCATGTGGTCCATTTGGACAGTCCAGCCTTCAGTGCATGATTAAATAAACAAACGAGAAAAAGTTCTTTTGTGTCACATCACACCTTTTATAAATCCTCAGTTCACTGTATGAGTTGTCTGAAGAGATTATATCAGAAAATAATAACAAGGTTTGTCCTGTCTTTCAAGATGAAACTCTCATCCTCAGAGTATAACTGTCCTGATGGGTCTAGAATTTTTATCGGTTTCCTGCAACGTGTAGGACCCCTCCAGTAGCATTTTTGTCCAGTGACTTTTCAGATGAATAATCATAAACACTCACTCACCCTTTTGGCTAGCAAACATCACATCCATCCATTCATGGCTGACAACAGATCGGAGAACGAACTGAAGCCCTCACCATTGCCCAAATGGTTTGTTCGGAAACTGGAATTGTCAGCAAAAGCTCCTGGGACACTGCAAAACAAAAATATTTTTTACACATAACTAAGATGTAACTTCTAAAACCACCACTTCCTTGAACTTGAAAACAGCAAGACAGATATACAGTCTGTAGATGTGGGGGAAAACACCTTCCCAAAGAGGGTACGTTACTGTATCAAGTGTGATGCTGTAAAATATCAACCGGAAACACTTTTCTAAAAGGCAAGTTTACCGGTTACTTCAATACATGCACTGAAAGGTGGCCATTTATTAAAAACTATGTACCAAATATTTTTTAATATTTTAGCATTACAAAAGAAATCACATCCTATTATAAAATATTGAAATAACAATAAACTGTTTGAACTCAATCTTTAAGAGATAAATGTACCATTTCTTATTAAGTAATGATCTTTTCCAGAGAGTGAAGAAACACATGAAAATATTGAATAATAATTATTTGAAATGTTCAACACTGCATACACTGCTGTGGTTTTTAAAATAATAATAATAAAAAATATGGAAGCTAGTAGAAGTAACCATAATTATTTTTCTCCTCAAAAGTTAACTGCTTTATTCTAAAAATGGTTATGAATTACCTAAATGTTATGAATTGAACTGTGTTCTCCAAAAAGATACAATGAAGTCCTCATTCCTGTACCTGTGAACATGACCCTATCTGGAAACAGAGTTTTTCTTGTGTTATTGTTGTGGTTGTTGTTTGCCATCTAGGTGGTATCACTATGGAAGTAAACTGCCCAAAGCTTCCTTCTGAGGAGTGGCTGGTGGGTTTGAGGCTTGAGGCACCAGCCTTCTGGTTAGCAGTCAAGTGCCTTAGGCAGTACTCTACCAGAGCTCCTTCTTTTGTTATTAGTTAAGTTAAACAAGGTCATACCAGAGGAGGGTGGGTGCCAATCTCTTCTGAGTGGAATATTCTAAAAGGAAAGAACAGATTTAGTCCCAGTTGCCCAGAGAGGAAAGACTCTATTTGTAGATACATCCACAGGTCAAAGAATGCCAAAAGACTCTTGGGACTACCAAAAACTAGAAGAAACAAGGAAGGAGCAGACAGAGCGTGGTCCTGCTGATGCCTTGAATTCAGACTTCTAGCGTGCACTTGAAGAACTATGAGATAATAGATTTCTGTTCTTTAAAGCCACCCACTTTGTGGTATTTTGCAGGGTAGCCCTAGGACACCAACACAATATGATACAATACTCATAGAAAACAGTGTAATGTCCATGCCTCAAAGTTAAGAAGCCTAAATTCTGGACCAGGTATGTCACCAATCAGCTGTGCAGCTGTGGCCATAAGAGAGCCCTTTAATGTTGTAGGGCTTCAGTCTCTTTGTAAGGTCAAGGCATTACCTGATAATTTCCAAGTCTCTTCCAGCTCTGGGAGGAGCTCTAGTAGCCTAGTGCCTAAGGCATTTGACAGCTAAACAGAAGGCTGGCGGTTCAAACCCACCAGCCAGCCACTCCTTGGAAGAAAGGTTGGGCAATCTACTTCCGTAGCGATACTGCCTCGGAGACCCAAAGAGGGGTCACTGTGAGTTGGGGCCATTGAGGCCACTGAGGGCACATACAACAACAACTTCCAGCTCTAAGCTTCTCTCTTCCCTCCCCCTACCTTTTTTTCTCTGTATCTTTTTTGATAAAGTATACTTACCCTAAATAACTTAGATTATTAGCTTCTCTTTTAAGCTTCCTGATTGAAATAATTTTTATCACAAATCAGTCTTATGAAGAACTGCCCTAAACACCAAAGATGTGCTGTGTGCAGAGGGCTTTATTCAGGAAAAGTCTCATCCAGGCACCAGTGCCCATCCCTGGTGAACCAGCATTCGCAGTGGGCTGTTACCTCCCATGGGTGCCCACACAAGGCACTGCTGGCCAGAAAGCACAGCTCCAACTCCTGTGGAAACCTGTCCCCATGTATCCTATACTGGTGATTTTCAAACTTAAGTGCACCTAAGAATCATGTGGCCTGAAATTCTGCATTTCTAACAAGCACCCAAGGGAGGCTGATGCCGCTAATCATGAACAACACTTTGAGTCCAAATGGGGACACCCTGTTCTCCAAGCCACAAGTAGCCATAAGAAGCATCCAAGAAGCACTCCCAAGGCTTTAAGAGATTCCTCAAAGCTCTGGGGTCTATATCATATAGTGAAAGGAAATGAGCTGGGTTGTATATCATCTTTTGTATAAAAGCCAAACTTCTTTCTAGTGCCCAGAATAACTCCTATAATCTGGTAACCTGCATCTCTTTGCTGTCACCTCAAGCCACAAACCTACTCCCAAACTGCACTGCAAATATGGTGGCCTCACTTCTGTTTCTAGAAAGACAAGAATTTGTGTATTGGGGCTGGTACACTTACTATTCCTGCTACCCGAAATACTAGTAGGCTATTCCAACACTAAGGAGTCCTGCCAGCACCCTGGGAAACCCTATGGGACAGTTCAACACATCAGAGGAATCAAGCCTTTCAAAGATATTTGAGAGTTCCTATCAGTTTTGCAGGAAGCTCTGATAGCGTAGTACCTAAGGCACTTGACCGCTAACCAGAAGGCTGGCAGTTCAAACCCACCAGCCACTACTCAGAAGGAAGATGGGGCAATCTACTTCTGTAGTGATACTTCCCTGGAAACCCAAGGAGGGGTCACTGTGAGTTGGGTCTGACCCGATGGCACCTAACACCACCAACAACATCAGTTTTGCAAGGAGCCCTGGGAAGGCAATGGCTAAGCTGCCCTGTCCTATAAGATTGCTATGAGTCAGAACTGACTCAACTGCATACAACAATAACATTCCTACACTACTGGCTCCTTCTCATCAGTGGGTCTTAGGGACAAAAGCCACTTCAAAAGGCCTGTACTGTATCTACTTGAGCTAGTTCCCACAGTTACTCTCAATTATATCAGCTTATCACTTACTCCATAGCTCTTATCATAACCCATTTTTTTTTCCTGTATAGTCACTTATCCTCCCCACTATAATATAAGCTCCATGAGATAAAGAAACCTCTCTGTTTTGTTCATCACTGTACCCAAAAACTTCAGCAAAAATGCATGGGTCAAAGCAATCACTTAATATTACTTACTAATAAACAAATGAATCAATGACTGAAAAACTTAATTGTTCAGCTTTCTGTAAAATAATATATTTGCCAGTTATTTAAAACTTCCTGTGCGCTGAAAAGGAGCTCTGGTAGCGTAGCGCCTAAGGCACTTGACTGCTAACCAGAAGGCTGGCAGTTCAAAGCCACCCAGCCACTCCTCAGAAGGAAGGTTGGGCAACCTACTTCCATAGTGCTACTACCTCAGAAACCCAAGGAGGGGTCGCTATGAGTCGGGTCTGACTCGATGGCACATAACAACAACACAACAATAATGTGCTGAACAGTGTTTTAAATATTTTACAAGCATTACCTTATTTAATTCTATCCTAGGAACAAACAATCTGGTAAATGCTACAACTCTAAGCTGAGGCACAGAGAGTTTTAGTAACTTGCCCAAGATCACACAGTATTGAGGGCTGGACTCTATAAAGCTTGTGCTGCCTATTTTCCAAGCTGACATACTAATATAAAAATTTTGAAGGCCTGCCTTGTATCAGACACCCCCTGTTTCAAGCTTGTTCAAGTGAGTTTTGGCTGCAAAATCTTGCAAAGTTATTTAACCTTTCTGAAAGCTAAGCTTCCATGTTCACACACAGGGAACAGGGTTGAGCTAAGGCAGCCACCACCACCACCTCAGATGCTAACAATGACCAGAGAGGTAATGTAAATGAGTGAAACAGGCCAGGCATAAGGTAACAGGGAGAGGCCCATGCTTTCCGCCACCAGCCCATGCTTTCCGCCACCAGCCCATGCTTTCTGCCGCCAAAGGGGGCAGGCACAAGACTTCAAGAACTTTCCAGTCCACAAACAAAGGCAGTCACTGAGATTTCTATTTTGTGAAGTTTCATAGTTTTTCAGTAATTCTTTATTTTTGTTGTTGGTAGTTGCCTTTGAGTCGACTGTGACTCAAGGCAGCCCCATTTGTGTCAGAGCAGAACAGCTTTGTAGGGTTTTCAAAGCTGTGACCTTTTGGAAACACATCATCAGGCCGGTCTTCTGAGGAGCCTGTAGGTGGTTTCCAACTACCAAACTTCTGCCCAGTGGTTTGTGCCACCCAGTGAATCCCAAATTTTTAATAGCATACTTAAAAAATAAAATAAAAACTTGCACAACCTCTGCCACCAAATGACTGCTGTCATGTGCTACTGAGTCAATTCTAAGTCCAGTGACTCTATATGACAAGAATAGAATTGCCCCATAGGGTTTCCAAGGCTGCAATCTTTAAGAGTGCAGATTGTCAAGTCTTCTGAGCCACCAATCTTTCTTTAGCACCCAAACTCTTAACCTTTGTGACACCAAGGGTCCATGTACCAAATGATCACTGAAATCTTACATCATTTCCAAGTCTATATTCTAAAGCAGTTTGGAAGCACTGAGGAATTGTTAGAGAGAACAGAGAAACACATAATAAGTGGCTGGGTGAATTATCTTAATTAGATTTTCTAAGGAATTGGAAGACCAGGTAGAAAATACATTCCATAAAATCGGAATAGACTATTCAAAGGCTTTGGGGTGAACAGCAGGCATGTCACTAGCAAAAACCAGCCAGCGATGAAGGGAGCTGACAGGAGATTTCATGTAGGAGTTTATTTTTCATTCAGGATTAGAGTAGCAACAGGTTTCATAATTAAACATAAATTGGTCTAAGAATGCTTTAAGAATATGATCATTACTGTCATCTTGCTTGATTTCCTAATACAGTAAAGTAAGCAGGAATAACCAAAAACAAAGGAAGAACCACCACTATGGTTTATGGAAATTGGTATGTGTGTATTGTTAAGAGTCCAAAAGAACCAGGGCTGAATTCCAACTCTACCAAGCTCTGTAACAACTTTGACCCAAGTCTTTTAAGCCTTCTGAGCTCTAGAAATGAAAAATATAGCAGCTGAAATAAAAAACACGACAGGAAGATGA